CAAATCAGATATTCCACCTACACACTCATACATGGCTCACTGTGGTCCATTTCACTCCACCCATAATTCTCTCTCATTTCCCCACTCCCCCACTTTCCAACTCCTTTTCTTTGTCCTCTGTGGAATACCAGATCCATTGGGGTCAAACTCTCTACACCTGTTTCTTATCTTTATTCTCCAAATGGAAACAGAATTTTAGAGTTAAAAAGGACTTCACTTCTCTAAGCATCTGTAGAAACAGACCTTCAACCTCACTCTCCAGCCATCAAACATCTATAGACATCTTGACATCTGGACCTCATTGGTAGAAGTTACTTCTTCCCTGAGAGCTAGGTACTCTAGGTCCCTAGGTACTCCCCCCCTTTTTTTTTCTTTCAGCTATTAGCATTCATTTCCTAAGGACACCAAATCACCTTTGGCCTCAAAGGAACCTGTAGTCATTTAGCTGGTCTGACCTCACCTCTCCCAGACATATTTTGGACACTTACCTTACACTCTACAGTTAACGCTAGCTGTGCTTTCTATCCCTGTACGTACATTTTCTTTTTTCCCCCCTTCTAACCATCCTCATCACTCCTTCGACATTTTGCTGAAATGCCAGATAGTTGCAGTGCCTGGGAAGTCTCACCAGATGATTTCTCTTCTCTTGTTCCTGGGCTAAAGGAAAATAATGAACTGTACAGACCCATGACCACATGTTATATGTGTTATCTAAAACTGAAATAATGGACTTTTCTGGACATTTGGCATTAGTGCTCACCCTGACTTCTCAGAAACCTCTCCTACCATAGTCTCTGGTTCTCTTCCTGGCCATACTTCACCTCTCTTTTCAACGGTATACCTTTCTCTGTTCACTCATCATTTAGCAGGCAATCTCCAGAGTTTTGTCCCTTTGACTCTTTTCTTTTTTGTCTACATACTTTCTCTAGGGGAATTTCATTTATTCTTACGTCTCGTATGACTATTTAAATGTAGATGACTCCCAAATGACTTTCACCAGCATTAACTTCTCTCTAGAGCTTTAAAAGTAGAAATGCAGTGTCCTATTAAACATATGGAGGTGGATGTCCTATGGACACCTTAAACTTAACATGACCTCAAGTGAACACCTTTTCTCCTCTGACCCCAAAACTGAACTATCCCTTTTCTCTTGCGTTAGTGGCATAACCATTTACCTGTCTCCCAACTTAGAAACCTTGGTGTTATTCTCACCTCCTTTTTCTCAACCCCCACATATAGTCAGCTGCCAAATCTTGCTGCTTCTAATTTTAAAACATCATTTGACTTTGTCTCTTCCAAACTCTATGCTACTGGCTTAAAATAAGCCTTCAGCACGTCTTCTTTGGACTTATTGCAACAGCGCTGTCCGTAATTTGTTTCCCTGATCCCGGGAATAATATTTCCCACCGTCCCATATTCTCTAGCCTGCCATTATAGTTATAGAAAACAAAGCTAACCAAATCTTTTTTTCTGTGTAAAAACTTCTGCTGGCTCAATATGCCCATGAGGTAAAATTCAAACTACGTATTTTGACTGCAAAATTCTTAACCTCTTGTCTCTGTGCTACTTCTCCACCTTGCTTCCTTTCCTGCCTTTCTGTTCTCTATGCACATCCTACATCCCTATTGCCTCATATTCTCACTACTTCCAGCACAGAACCATGCTTTCAGAAGTCAGAAGTCAATGTATATATGTATATATATTTTTCAAGATATTCTTTTCCTCCTCTACATCCGTATTCCCTTGAAAAATTCCTACCTGTGTTAAAATCAAGTTTAAGCATCATGTACTCTGTGAAGCTTTCCCCAATTCTTCCAGGCTATTGATGTTCTGTTCCTTTTGTTCCCAGAACACTTTATATTTGCTGCAGACTTTACAGTGTGGCTTTTAACTTTTGTAGTTACATGTTTTCATCTCACATTAGACTGTAAGCTTCTGATTGTCAGAGAACTGAACAGAAGTTGTTTAATGAATATTGATGATTTAATGCAACATTGTTTTCCTCCCCAGATGTTTTTGGCATCAGTCTCTTCTTTTTTTGTTGTTTCTTTCTTTTATTTTTTAAAAAAGATTTTATTTATTTATTTAGTGAGCGATGGGGGAGGGGCAGATGGGGAGAGAGGGAGAGAATCTCAAGCAGACCCTGTGCTGAGCATGGAGCCTGATGACGTGGGGCTCCATCTCAAGACCCTGAGACCATGACCTGAGTGGAAATCAAGAGTCAGACGATTAATCCACTGAGCCACCCAGGCGTCCCTTTTTCGTTCTTTCTGTCACATCCCTAATAAGCAGTCAACTCAAAGTTAGATTTTTAATAGCCTCTAGATGACCATCTAGATAAGCACTGTTCAGTGATGTAGCCACTAGTCACATGTGGCAATTGAGCACTTGAGGTGTAGTTAGTCCAAGTTGAAGCAAGCTGTAAGTGCAGAATACACATTGGATTTTTTTTTTTTTAAGATTTTATTTATTTATTTGACAGAGAGAGAGACAGCTAGAGAGGGAACACAAGCAGGGGGAGCGGGAGAGGGAGAAGCAGGCTTCCCGCCAAGCAGGGAGCCCGATGCGGGGCTCAATCCCAGGACCCTGGGACCATGACCTGAGCCGAAGGCAGACGCTTAACGACTGAGCCACCCAGCTGCCCCTACACATTGGATTTTGAAAACAATAGGAAAACAAGAATGTAAAATATCTCAGTAATTTTTAATTTTAATTTAACAATTACTCATACGTTGAAATGATAATATTTTAGATATATTTGATTAAATAAAATATACTATTAAAATTGATTTGCCTGTTTCTTTTTCTTTTTTCTATTTTTAAATGTGGCTACTAGAAAATTTAAAAGTATATGTGGTATGCATTATATTTCTATTAGACAGCGCTGTGCCCCTTCAATTTCTTGGTGGTAAGCCTGTCTTCTGTTTTTTTCTTTTCTCTCTCTCTCTTTTTTAAGATTTTATTTATTTATTTGTCAGAGAGAGAGAGAGAGCAGCAGGAAGAGGGAGAAGCAGGCTTCTTGGGACTCGATCCCAGGACCCAGGGATCATAACCTGAGCCGAAGGCAGACACTTAAGTGACTGAGCCACCCCGTGCCCGCTTCTGTTTTTTTCTTAATCCTTGTAGCAGTAAGCAGAATTTCCTGGGAGGGGAGGAAACACTCAAAAGTCGTGTTTGTTAACTGGTATTGTTGGACTAACTTTCCCCTAACATGACTTTTTTTTCCATGCTACTATCCTACTTAAAGAATCGGCAGGTTTTCTGTTGTCAGCTGCATCAAGGCCACATTGTTTTGGCTGGTTCTCCAAACCTTCTTTAATTCTGTCGCACTTCACTTATCCAGCCTTATCTCTCACTCATCTTAAGTAGAACTCCTGTCCGTTAGTCTGTTTTCTGAGCTCCTTGAAGTCTTTGTGCTTTTGTGCATACTGCTCTTGCTCAGTATCTCCTTCCTTGGCCCCCATCTAAATCAAGCCAGTCTTTAAGATGTGACCTAAAAGTTCTGCCTTCCACATGATTTTTTTTCTGTTTTTTGGAACTCACTCTGATATCCTACTAGTTATTTGTCAGACCCACACAGTTTAAGCTCTAATTTGTTCAATTATTCAGCATTCAATTGAATTCCACAAGCATTTTTTTTTTTTTTTTTAAGAGAGGGAGGTGAGGGAGGAGCAGAGAGAGAGAGGGAGAATCTTAATCAGGCTCCATGGCCAGCACGGAGCCCAAGGTGGGGTTCAATCTCACCATCCTGAGATCATGACCTGAGCTGAAATCAAGAGTCAGAGCTTAGTTGACTTAGCCACCCAGGAGCCGGATGAATTCCACAAGCATTTTTGAGATCCTGTGCCAAGAGCAGGGATAGGTGAGCATGAGGGTCACCTTAATGCAGGACCTAGGCTAGGAATTGGCCCTGTAGAAAAGTATAAGACACAGGCCCCGGCTCATTGCCTTTCCTAGCAACTGCTCCACCACAGGCATGTTTATTCTGATTTCTTAAGCCTCATATGAGAAATTGCTAATAAGCCATTATATGCCCAAACAGTCAAATAGCCTCACTCAGGGTTCAAATCCCATGAGGCCCCGTTGGGGAGCTCCGGGTTCTAATTAAGTGTCTTCTTTCCCTAGTTTTCTTTTTCACGCATTAAAGATCACTGCTCATACAGCTTTCTGTTAAAGTGAAAACACCCAGGATTTGCCTCCTTGGCCACACTCTCCCCTCCTTATGAAAGGCTTATTGCTAGGTGTTTTAGACTCTGGAGCCAGATTGCTGCAGACTCGAATCTCAACTCCTACACTGAGCAGCTCTGCAGCCTGGGCAGAGGCTTAACTCCTCCATGCCTCATTTTACACATCTGTATAATGAGAATATTGTATCATAGGGTTGTGGTAAGGGTTAAACAGGTTGATAGTTCTTGGTACAGAGTAACCACTCAATAAATGTTAGTTCTTAGTAATTGTCACTACCAGGCTATTTCTCTCCCATAAAATGTAAGGGACTGTTTTGACTATTTTATTGCACCCGTATCCTCCAACTTCTAGGAGTTCCTGTTTCAAAACTGCACGTGAATAAACATGGAATGAATACACGAATGCTCGCACTTTATATCTGCATTTCCAATGTTGCGTCGTCAAGAGCAAAGGCAAAGGAGCAAGTGTAAGTCACCTCTTTGCAAAGGTTCTTCCTTTACCGGGTTTTACCCGAGGCCCTCTGGGACAATCTCATCCCCATAGTGGGGAAGCCCACAGCGGGCAGTGCGAAGTACCTTCTGGGGATCACCTTAGGCGAACGGCCTAGCACATTAAGTCCCGGCTGGCCGGCTTCCCGGGAAGTTCGGCGCATGCGCACCGCGCCCAGCGTCTGGGTTCCTTCCTGCGCGCTACCCGGAAGCCTCGGCTCCGTCTCCCTCCTTCCCCCTCCCCCTGCCTCGCCGACTCCGGCGGTGCGTGCGGGGCCGGCCCGGCGAGGAGGCGGGACACGTCGGCGCTGCCACCGCCGCCGCCGCTCCTCCTCCAGTTCCAGCTGCCGCCGCCGCCGCCGCTTCCTGGGTTGAGTCCGCCCGCGGTCCCGGCGGCTCCAGGTGTGTTCTCGCTGTCCAGCTCCTGCCCGAATCCGCCGCCGCCGTAGCTGCCCCGGGCTCCCCGCCCCGCTGCCGAGATGGCGACGCGCTCCTGCCGGGAGAAGGCTCAGAAGCTGAACGAGCAGCACCAGCTCATCCTGTCCAAGCTGCTGAGGGAGGAGGACAACAAGTACTGCGCCGACTGCGAGGCCAAAGGTAGCGCGGACGTCGCCGCCCCTGGTCGGGGCCTCCTGCGGCCGGTGACCTTCCCGTCGCCGCGGCGCCCGGGGCCCGAGCGGACGCCGCGGCTGCGCCCAACTGGCCCCGGCCCTGAGGGGAGGGCGGGCTCAGGCTCGAGTAGCCCCTCACCTCCACCAGAGGCGGCGGCGAGGTCAGGCCAGTGGGCGCCGGCACTGGCCTTAGCCTCCTCTTTCCCGGCCCCGGGGCAGAGCCGGTTCCAGCGTCGCGATGCTCGGACCCTCTACAGGGCCGGGGCCAGAGCCGGGCTGGGATCTCGGAACGGGGCGACTGCCTGGCTAGTGCTTAGGGTTAAAGGGTTGCTCTCCTCCCGCCTCAGCTCGCAGGTACATCCGTGGGTGGGGCCACCCTTAGTCTCGGTCTCCGCCTTGACCCTCCCCCAGTGACCACGGCGTCCCACCTGGGGCTCCGATGCTCCGTATCCCAGGTGGAGCCCTACCTGCCTGCCCACCTGACAGCTTTGTACAGGGTTTTTGCTTCTTCTTGACAAAGGGTATGGTGGTCCTTTTTGGTGGGTTGGAGTTTTACTGAGTGAGACCACTGGGGAGGGGTCTTTGGTAGTAGTAGTAGTAAAATTGTTTTTTTAGTCTGGATATTAACCCGAATGAGGAGGAATTTCATTATATGCGTCTCTTGGACAGTGGGCTTATGTTCCTGAAGCTTTTAATAATTAGATTATCTCTGACCAGTTGTTTTGGGAGAACATGTGGACACCGGTTTGTGTGGCCCAGAACGTTGAAGGTGCATTTTTTAAAGATCCAGAGATTGACAAAAACCTAATTTTAGTTTGTTCCGTTGGAGGGCTTCTGCCTCAGCCTTTAAAATAGATACACTATTTTTAGCCTATATGTTTGGGTTTGGAGATCTGATTTATATTTAATGTCTTATAAGTAATCTCCTGAGAAAAATGTTTCAGATTTTAAAAACAAACCTATCATGTGTTTAGGAAAAGATCTTGCTTATTTCTAAATTGGTTTGTTTATTCGGTGAAGAATAGGTAGTTCTCCAAAGCAAGAGTCCGTCTTTGAAAATGTCATTTCAGGTTTCTGTTATTGACTTAGACTTTTCTTGAAGCTTTACTCTTGTTCCTCAATACTATATAAATGAGTCACGTTTCAGTAGGCTGATAATGTTTGATTAGACTAAGCCACACAGCATCAGCAGGTCACTTCACTACCACACTACCATAACAGGTACCTGATTACTGGAAGATCATGTGGGAATACTGTAACCAGACCATTTTAAGGAGCACTTTTCAATATCACAGTAACTTGACTGACCCAACCTTACTTTTATTCTGGGTAACCTTTCAGATGATGAGTTAAAAATGCCTGATTATTATGGCAGTATTTGTTTACTTGATACTGATTATGTGTGTGTGTGTGTTTTTTGGAGGGGGAATACTGTATTGAGGCTCAATTACTCATCACTGCGCTAGTAAAACACCAAAAAATGGGGCCTTTAAAAGGCCAGAAAAAGAAATGAGCTGCATTTTGAGTGAGAAGTAACATGGTTAAAAAGAGATGTTAGTAAAAAAAAAAAAAGAGATGTTAGTATATATTAAATCTATTAAAAATTGAATAGTAACAGTTTCAGTAAGTACTTTCATTAGGTATAGAAATAAGTGAAAAATAATTTTTGTTTAAATTTCTGTCCCCGAAAAAGTACTTTATAAAATCAGATTTTCACTGATGCTTCCTAAAATAATGTATAGGTTTTGATAAATCCATTATGTGCCACATGATAACATTTTCATTCTCGTTTTTTGAAGTGAGGAGAGGAGAATCATGTACTTTTTAAATTAGAACAAAAATTTTATTCTAACAGAAGGAAAAGGGAGCATTAGTTTTGTTTGCTGTTTGTATTGCCACTGAGGTCCATGGATATATATTGAATGAATGTTTTTATTTTGGTTTTGTTTGGTCTTTTGTTTGTGGGTTTGTTTTTGAGAAATGTAGGAAGAGGGAGAGAAGAGAGTAGCATCAAGAGTTTGAGGGTGAAGGGCATGAACTCCAGTCATGATTTGGAAAGATCCTTAGTTTTTCCTTGATGCTACTAAGTATTGAATAATATTAAAATGAGCTTCTAAATTATTTCACTGTTTTATCCTCTCGTCCAGGAAAAAATATCACAGTTAAGTTTAATTAGACTTGATTTCATAGTTGTAGTAGTTGAAAAATTTGACATGATTGGGCTATTGATATAATTAAATATATTTTGTAAAATTTTTGAGTCTTCGATATGGTTGAAGCCCATTAAGAGCTCTCTTAGTAGAGTTCTTGGCTTGTTAAATGATTTTGGATTTATTGTTATATATGCCAGATGACATAGTAAATGTAGGTAGTGAAATTCTGATTAAATGTATTTTTAAAAGACATGCTATGGTTCTTACTCTGCAGCTCAGCTATTAAAAGAGGTTCCATACTGTATATGTGTATTAATGTTTTCTTCACTGTCTAATAAACTACATCAAGCCTTTCATGTATTTTTGAAGCTATTTCTTAGTTAACTCAATTTTCTTTTCTTTCACAAAATACTTCCCCACTGCTCTTTGAGAACATGTACGAAAGACTAAAGTCTAGGGCTAAAGATTACCCTATTCTCTTGAGTTTAATAATAGTTGGCAAAGTTATATCAATTGGATTTTGACATTTTCTTACTGAGTCATCAGTGTGTGTGTTTCCTGAATTGACATTATTTAGGAAGTAAGGAAGGAGAAAAGGATGGCATAGGTGCCAGTTTCCTGCTCATGATCCGACACTTACCAGATCTGTTGAACAACTGGAGAATGAGAACAGACAGATGGATCTGAGCTTCCTCTCCCTGGCCTCATTTGTGACTCTGTGGGAGTTTTAATGCAGTTCTATTGGTTATTAGTTGGTGGCAGTTTATGGAGCAGTGAAGATTTAGGGCCCCTTGCCAATCTAAAGTTTAGTTTTTAGTATTTAAAGTTTCATTCACAGTTAATACTAGCTTTGATTCCGAACATGTGTTGGAATGAAAATGTGTCTCTTGCCCAGTAAGTTTTGGGGTAATCAGAAACATAAGGTTTTTGAACCCTTAAGGGATTGTTTTGTTCCACCTGTCTGGTATTAAGAGGGTAAGCTCCTTGCCCAGATCAGGCCCAGATCAAGCACTTATTTCTTCATTCCACAGATCTTGACTGTAGGGGACACCACTAAGCACTACTGGATTATGGGGCTAAAAAAATTAGTAAGACCTAAAGGAGTTTGTTTAGTGAGGACTGCATTTTTGCAAATGAATAATTCCAAAACAATGTACTAAGTATTATAATAGTGGTTGTAAGAAGTACCCCCCTCTCTACTTATTTTGGGCTGCTCTCCCTATTGCATCTGACTTTTGTCTATTGGTTGTCTTCACAGTTCCTAGAATGCTGCCTCAAGGCCTTTGCACATGCTGTTCTTTCTGCCCAGGAAGCTCTCTAACAGTTTTTTGCCTGATCAGTTTTATGTATCATCCAGTTTCTGCTTAAATGTCTCTTGAAGGGAAATGATTCTCCCCTCTTAGGTTAGGCTTCCCTTTATACGTATAAGACACATCCTGAATATTTTATTACTCTTACTACAGTTGTAATTAAACATTATTTGGGTATTTATTGGGTAATCTATTTCTGTTGAATTATAGCTATAAGAGAAGAGATCTTGTTTGTCTTGTTTAGGCTTGTATCCCCAGCCCTCTACACAATGTGATAGGTTAATGTAACTCTTTTGAATGAATGAATGTGAATGAGTACAGAGCTGAAGGGAGGCAGCAGGATATGTGGAAATGGGTTCACATATGGGCATGTGGAGTGACCTGCTGGGAAATATTCACGGGAGTCTTGTTTGAGTTAGGTTCCGAAAGTGGAGTGGGATTTCAGCAGATGGAGAAGGAATTGAAGGGCACAGTTAGCTGCACATACAAGGTACAGGTATATAAGAGAACATAAGAGGTTTCCATGTGGCCTTTTTAGGGTAAGCTTTCTCTAAGCATGACCGGATTTGATGGTAGCAGGTCAGGAAGAACTAAAATGGTGAGAGATTCCAGGCATGTCACCTAATTACAACAGCAGTGTGAGAAAGAGTGTAAGGATCTGACCTCACCTACTGTCAGTGTGTTGTAAATTGGGGTATAGGGCAGGAAACAGAACGACTGTAGCTATTTTAAGGAACAGGTGCTTACATTGGAAGGGGTGGAAGGGCAAAAATCAGGGAGCCACTACTGGACTAACGGTTTCAAGGCCATATGCTAATACCATTGCTACCGCTCACACCACTACTGCCGCAGCTGCTTCTCACCCACGAAACCGGTGAACTGATGGGGGAATCGGGACTGTGGTTACTGCCGCCATTCAGTGTCTACTAGACATTTTTGTCAGTTGCCCTTACTATAGGAAGATGGCCTTTGTTGAACTTGTGCCTTCCACGTGCAAATAACTGGCAGACCTATGTCCAACACTTGGCCGGCAAGGGAGTCTTTTAGCTTTCTAATCTCTTCAAAATGTAGAAACAAGAAGTGGAGGTTGTGAGACTCAATCCAGGAGTCTACTACGAGGCAGTGAGGATGGAGAACATTTTCATTAAGTGTTTGATATTTAAGAGTTCTTATATAAACTTATTTTAAAGTAATTCATACTAAAAAGTAAAGTTCACCTTGAGAAAATGATGCTTATGATGATGTTGATGCTGTGGGATAAATACATATAAACGAAATCTGTGATGATAGTTCATCTAAAGAGACCTGCCAATCTGAAAGTTCCCCCAAAATGCTAACCTTCAGTTGGATGGGTCTGTTGTTCTTATAATTCTGCTGATCTTGAGGTTTTCTCTGGTGATTATGTGTAGAGCCCTGGTGTCAGAGCTGGGATAGAAACCACTGGTCTCTCTCTGACTCATCAGTTTAAAACTTCGACTGCATGTTGTCCCCTTCTTTTTTTTCCCCTCCCAATTCTTTTCCTT